AAAAAAAAAAAAAAAAAAAAAAAAAAAAAAAAAAAAAAAAAAAAAAAACAAAAGAACAAAAAATGTGTGTAATGGCATACTTACCAAATCATAAGCGCGTATTTGGCATTAATTAATTCCTTAATCTTTTTCATTGACCACTCTCCATGGATAAAATTTGGCCCAACAAAATACTTTTGGTCCGGTTTTTAGACTTTGCTGGGTAGTAATTGAACGTTTTTGTCCTTTCAATATTCAACGATTCCGCCTCTTTCAGATCCTAGCGTTCTCGCTAGCACATGTTTCCTTCTCCCATCGAAATGGGACCCCCCAATCCACTATCTTAGGGGCACACCGCCTCGTGTCTACCCCTTTCGGTGCTTAACCTCCGGTCGATTTCATAATTCATCCCTTTCAGGGCCTAGCGTTCTCGCTGGCACTTGTTCCTTTCTCGCATCAAAATGGGACCCCACAATCCACTCTCTTCACCCTTCGGGGCTTAACCTCCTCGCTGACATATCACGTAGTGTCTAACTCTGATACCATTTGTAACAGCTCAAATCCACCTCCAGCAGATATTGTCCTCTTTAGGATTTGCCTTTCAAACTTCCCCTCAAAGTTTTTAAAATGGTAGGGAGAGATTTCCACATCCTTATAAAGAATGATTTGTTCTTCTTCCTAACCAATGTGGGATCTCACAATAAAAAAAATAGAGATGTTCACGGAGCGGAAACATTCCGTTTCTGCCACCTGTTTCAAGCTGCAATTTATTGAAACTTTTCATTTATTTTATAGAGATTGAGTTTCTCGCCCGAGAGTTTTTTTTTTCCTTCCCTTTCCAATATGATAATTCAAATTTCATCTTTGATTAGGGTGACATTCAAATTTCTATAATTTCTACCGATACAAATTTCAATATAAATATAAATGGTGGAGAGGGGCGAAAAATTGGGTAGAGTCTCGTGGGATATACGATTTCTATCCTTGACCCATCCGAGTTTTTAAACCTTACTTATCTTTTATTCATCACGGAGATAATTAAATGAAGTGTTATAATGATTAAATAAAAGGAAGCTTTGTTTGAAAAAATGGTGTAAAATAAGACATGAGGGAAGAAAAATGAGCAATACTTTTGGAGTTTGGCAAAGGTTAGTTGGCATGTCTTACTCCAATTTTGAACCAAATTATGTTGATCATATTCTTAAATGGCCTTTAATTGAGATGCATTGACTAAGATTAAGTACTTACTATTTCTAAAAAAAAAATCTAAACATAATTTAGAAAAATAAAAAATGTTAAGTGTTATGAAAGCCTTTCGAACTGATTCGAGTAGAAATACCTCGATGCTTAAACATTTTTGTAACTGTGAGGGAAAAAAAAGGGCGGAAT